CACAATCAAGTCAACATCAAATGGAAAACATCCAAGTTTTAGAATTTATATATATAATAAAATATATCGTTTTAATATATTAATATCTCAGACAATAACAAAAAATTCAAAATTGAAAGATAACTTTAATAGCACACTTTATCTAGGATATTATACATCCTGGGGATGTTCTTAGGATATTCAAAGGACATTTTCAAGAGGTCTGTATTGTTAGGGAACACGTTTATTAAAGATTTTTTTTTAAAGAAGTAATTTTTTATCTTTATAAAAATAACTATAGGTTTTTATATTAATTTGTTCCATTATTTTGTGTATAAATGTGTTAAATATCATTGAAAAAAATATTTTATAAATAAGTATTTTCTATATCAAAGCCCAACAAACGAGAATAGATTGAAATGAATTGAAATAGATTTAGATTTTCAGAAATATTGATTCACAAATGTTAAAATGAATGCTTTTCAATCCTGAATGCATTTTTATTTATTTATAGGAATTGCATATCTCTATGCCTTTCAATTTAAAAATAATATTAGCTTTTTCTGTGCATTATGAATACTGTTCAATTCAAAATTTTGAATAGGAAATGCAATTTTTCAATCCAATTGTATCCAATTGAATCTAATTGAAACCAATTGAATCCAATTAAATGCAAAAAAAAGTATTCGCTATTTAAAATATGCATTTGAATAGAAAAAAATTCAATCCATTTTATTTCAATCCATTTTCTCTATTCTCGTTTATTGGGAGAATACAATATAAATTAATTATAAATCTCATAACTCAATCAATTTTAATCTTAGTAGTCTTGTATATCTTTTTAATCAAAAACATCTTCAAGGTAATCTGACCGATGTGATACACATCAAATCTTATTATACTGACGTCTGTTTCTATTAATCCTATAGATTAACTTTAATCTCAGTTCAACTTGCTTTTAGAAAAAGATGAAGAATTAGTTGAACAGAGATTAAAATTTAACTATATTGATAGAAACAGTCATAAGTCTGCAGTTAATTATAAGATAAAAAGATTTTCTTCCGTAAGTTCAGATTAAACTTTTGTTCACTTGTTTTAGCTAGATTAATCTCTATTTGGAATTTTCTGGAGGCTCGATGTCATTTAATTAATATAAAAAGAAAAAGAAGATTGATTTGTTCTCGATAAATGCGCCATTAATTTTTCTTACGAGTCGCATTCCGATTTTTCTGTCGTTTCTCTCTGTCCATTATCCAGTCGCACTTATTTCTCTATGATAATAATCGCAACAAGAGAAATCGTACAGTTGTTAGCTCTGTATATAGTATATCTCGCAGTCATTTTATTTCTAAAATCACCATAGGCGCAACATAAAGCACTGCGTGTCGTACATGCATGTTGATGAAAACGGTGGCGACAACGGCAACCGACAAATCGATACCGGAGTATCTGAAACCGGTTTACTCGGACAATTTTCCGAACGCCATCGCCCATGACGGCCATGACCTTACGCATCAGCTTTCTCTCGGAAGGGAAAGTTTTTCCGTATCTCAGGGGTTGGTCCCATCAATCCCATCTATGACGGGGGATTCCGTCTGCGAGGAAAGTCCCACAAAAGAAATTAGAAATGACTTGGACAGAATCGAAGTTTCCCATCTCTCGATTCGTTCTAATTCATTCATTTTTTTTCCTCTTTACTGTTCTGCTTCTCGTGACACGCCAACATAGTCGAAAGTAGCATTTATCCCAGTGAACTCTTTACATTGTCATCGGGTGAACTAATCCGATGTGGAACGACGGTCGCGACATGACGCTTGAAATGTAAATGATGATAATCACGTCTGCAGGAAGTGTATCGCGAGGAGTGTAAATAACCATTGTTCTCTGTTTCCGTTGGAGAAAATAAATGACCGTTATTTCGCAGTCACCCGGTAATAACGCGTCCAGTTCAATCCACTCCATGGCCTCCGGGTGAGTGCGATTTGCACGAAACAAGAGCTTGTTCTTTTTAGCTAAACTTCTTGCATGGTTCATTAATTTCTTCTTTTTTTTTGTTATTTTTCTACCAAGTCTAATTGCAAACCGTTGATTCCATCGTCATCCAGTTCTCCCCGCAGTTCTCCCCGTTATTGTCATAAAAGAAAGTCGCTTGTCTCTTTCAAATTGCTCGTACAGTTCAGAGATTATCATGCTAGTAGGACATCCTGATGGCGATTAACGCAACTTGTCAAATTCATTATCGATATGCTTCGAAAGCCAATTTACGACTCTTCACGGACAAATTGATCGAATAAATCTATTGCGCGATGAAACGGAGATCGTTATCTAGCGAATCTTTTCACAGCGTGGCGCTTTCATAAGCTATGAAATTGCAATAATACTCACTCGAACTCACATCGATCATTCTCTCAAAGAAAAGTTATACACATGTAAAATTTATAATTACTAACAAAGTTAGAGTGTTTACTGCTGAAAGAAATCAATGTCATAAATCACATCTAAATGATCTAAATGATAGACGATTTCAATATTTTTCTTGATAATATTTTTGAGACTTTCGCGGATATTTTCTTCAAAAAAGCTATATATTCATTTAGAAACTATGATTCCCCAGATAACATACATGTTACATAAGACATCTAAAGGACATCTTTTAGACATCTTTTAGACATAAGACATCTCTAAAAGACATCTTTAAAATATCTTATGAAACATAAATGTTATCAGGGTCGTAAGTCGTTATCTCTGGGTATTGATATTGTCACTTGGGCGTGTAAAATTTCTTTTTTTAGCGAGAGGTTTATCAATTCTGTTGTCATATAAATAGTAATTTTTGCTTTAATGAATTGCTTATTTAGAATTTCTGTGTTATCAAATAAAGAGCTATTTTTGTATTAATGAATTTGTCTTATTAGATATTTTTATAATTCTTTCTTTCTATTTTTAGAAATCTCTCTATAATACAAACCTCCAAGGAACGTACATCCCCACTTTCGAAGGATGTCTTTATGTTTTTTAAACGTTTAAGGACTAAGTTCTCAGGATGTTTGTCAAATAAAATGTACTATGTGGATTTTTTTTGTTCCTGATTTTGAAATTTAAAAAATATTAGATTTTGTTAATTATAACTTTTAATTATAATTAATTATAACTTTTAATTATAAAGAGGAAGGGAAGTCAATTTCCCTCCCTTCTGGATAAGCTCATACATTGTTAAATGCCAACATTTGATAAAAAATTTACTTCATTAAGGCAAGAAACAATCTGATAATAAGCTATTTTTTCTTTTTTTTTAAACAAAATTATTTTTTTTTTATAAAATTTAGTTCCCGCGCTTTACGCGAAATGAAAAGCAATGTAAAATTGAAAGTAAGTAAGAAAAGAAAAGTAAGAATTGAAAAAGAAGAAAGTGAATTTCGAAAAAAATCGCTGAGAAACGATCGTTATTGTGTATCAATCTATTACGGATTTGAGCGCGACATGTGCATGATGTATGTCTGTGAAAATGTGATAATTATTTGGACGAGCCTGTCGCGCCGATTATAAGCATCTGACAATGTCAGTTTCACCTTTCTTCATTTTCCGTTTTATGAATGTGAAAGGTGCCCGCGAGGTATAATCGTAATCCTCGCGATTAGAATCGCATATGGAACATCCTGTGAACTAGTATAAAGCGCCGATTTCCAGTCAGTCATTAAAGTGAATCTTGCCTCTTGCGCATTGATGTATATTTTATCGTCTATAAAGCAAAATTGCAACTTGTCGATTACAGGGAACGTTATTTATTAACATGAGTTTCGATCGTATTTGTTTTTCAGTTATGCCGTTGGAGCGATACACATATAACAAAGCATTGTACGTTCTATTCATTTTACACTGAGATTTTATACTGAGATATATAATGTCAACAGCGAGAAATTAATCTTTTTTTATTACAACACGAAATAAATTGATTCCTTCGTATGATTTGAGCATAAAAATAAACTTTTTTTATTAATTTTTTCATCATATTTATTAATAAACATTGAAAAAATATCTCCGAAGATTCTTTTCTCTTGGAGATAGCTGTAAATCGCGATCGATAAATAATCATGATAACCATTTCCGTTGTAAACACAAGGCAGATTGAATTCTTAGGACATTTATATGTTCTAAGTTAAATAAAGATTGATAAAATATCTCTGAAGGTTTTCTTTTCTCGAAGATAGAGCTGTAAATCTTAACTAATAACCATGAGAATCATTTATTATTGTTATCATTGAAAATACAAAACAAACAGATTGAATTCATTCAGAACACATACATATATTCGGGTTCGACTCCCAGCCGAAGCAATATTTTTCGCAATAAGTTTATTACAGTTTTTTAAGATTAAATTTGGGGGGATTATTAATATTTCAGATTGATTACGTTGAAAGTCCGACAACCTTCGGCACGCAATTATAATTTCTGAAATTAATTTATTTAAATGAATATATATAATAGTTCAACATCTTAACATTCAGACCATAGTGGCGCTTCGTATTTAAAGAAATATATATATATATATATATA